TTGAGTACCAAAAATGCTCTTGTGTACTATCCTCGTGTTGTTGATGTGTACTATGCTATAAATTATCGTCGGGTACAATTGTAATATGTAACGTTATATTACAATTTTTCTAGTTATATATAAATTTTATTCGTACATTCAATTTTAAAAATTTTTGCCCCCCGTACGGCACATTCCTGGCTCCGCCCCTGCGTCCATTTGACCGTTAGTCAATAAAAAAAAAAGATCAATTTGACCACATTTTGATTAATTTAAAAAGAACAAAATTGTAATTTTATAGTTTTTCAAATAAAATAATTAAATAATAAAGCACGTTTCTCAAAATAACCTTTAAAGCTACATCTTTATGATATTCCAACGCCACAAGCTTATGTTATCGCATCATTGTACAAAGACTCAAAATTTTCAGCAAGATTCCCTCCAATCGCTTTTCTATGCAGTGGCCCCACCCGTTGTCAAAGAATTGAGTGTCGTGTGGTAATTTTGACGTTTGATTACCGATTTCAAATGGGTTAATTTTTCCTCATTATTAAAAAAAGGTTGAACCCCAACTTTGAGGACCCCCCACCGACCCTGCCCTGAGCCATTGTGGAGGACGTAAATCGCAGGATGTACCTCTCAAGAATCAGGGTGGAGAGCTTATGGATAGGCCGGACTATTAACTCTATGGTAACTCCCGCTTGCAACAAAGCCAATTCCACCTTGCGAGGAATCGAACTCTGCACACTACCGCGCTGAGCCCTAACCGCCCTCCCCTTTGCCACTGGGAGATTTGCCCTGGGGGCTATTTTTCCTCATTATTATTCATGATGACGATGGTTGTGGAGTGATTGGATTCGAGTTTTACTAGTCGAGCCTTTTCGCTCATCCTGGTATGCTTTTCCCCAACAGTACAACCCATTTGGGAATGTTTCCTAATTTGAATACCAAATTGACAGGAACAAGAACCCTAAAAAATTGAGGAAAAAAATATAACTAGCAGTGCATATTGAAAAAATATAAATTATAATCTTTTTCCTTTTAAAATTAATCAAAATATGGTTAAAATGAATTTTTTTTAGTTGACAACGGTCAAATGGACGGATTTGTCCTCCAGCTGAAATCGAGATGAAACAATAATTTTAAAGATTTTGGATCCTTAATTTATTTATTGTTTTTCTTTGACTAACAAGTCGTGCACTCCAATTTGATAACAAAAAGAGGGATGGTTGACGACGAGACTTGTTAATGAGAAAAAAAAGTCCATAATAACAAAATAATAATTAAAATGTTTTAATAATCAATTATCGAAAAAAACAGAATATTGTCACTAAATGAGTAATAAAAACGACAAATAAATAAATTTTATTGAAGAAAAGGTTTATCAATAACTAAATAATAATGTAAGATTACCGACGAAGTTCAACTACAAGTCATAGTTTGAAAATATTATCTCAATAAATTTAATATACCAAAATAATTTTCGTCGATAAGAAAATTGATAAAATGTTTTTTTTTTTTTTTTAACAACTAAGCATTGTCCACGAGAAATTTTGGTTGAAATTAGAAAAAATATATATATTAATAAAAAAATTGCAATGATAAATATAACAAAAAATAATAATTAAAATATTTATTGAATGGAATTACATCGATAAAACAAAAAAGTAAATAAATGTCATCGATCNATGGATGGCAAAAAAATCCGACACCCGCGGGGCCCCGCCCCGAACGGGGAGGAGAAAACCCGCTTAAACGGGTAACGAGGCGGGGAATTTTTCCCCCGTCCCCGCCCCGCCCCGTCAAAAAATTTTTTTTTTTTAGAATTCAATACTTTAAATGAAAATTTTCATTAGTTCTAATAGAAAATAGCAACTAAAATTATTTGTCTAAATATAATGAATATGGACAATAAAAATAAATTATCAAAAATTAAAAAAAATTAAACGTGGCAAGGACCCTATCCCGCCTTAAACGGGTAATGGGGCGGGGAAATTCCTTAGTGGGAGACGGAGGGCTGTCCCTTTGCCATTCGTACCGTGGTAATTTTAAAACTTCTCTCAATAATTTTAATATTACCAAAATAAATTTCATAGATGAGTAAAGTGTTAAAAATAATTATAAAACTAAAAACTAAACATTATCAATGGGGATTTCAGTCGGTAATAAAATAAAAATTATCAATAGTATTTTGTTTGATAATATTTATGTATAAAAGTACATCGATAAAGAAAATTATACAAATATAAATATCAGCCAGATTTCATAAACAGTATATAAATGAAATTCTATAATTTATTAAAGGGAACTCTGCTCGAAGATAAAGTAATAAAAACAAAAAAATAAATATTTTTTGTCAATGACAAAATAACGATTAAAAAAATTGTTAGACATTATCAATGGTGCGAATTAGTATTAATTTAAAAATATGATCAAATAATTTTATCTGCAAATAAATTTTCGACGTTAAGGTGATTAAATCTCTCTCT